GAGAGAGAGAGAGAGAGAGAGAGAGAGAGAGAGAGAGAGAGAGAGAGAGACAGGGAAAGAGAGAAGTTTAACTCTCCTTTCGAAGTTTCGGATCGGTCAAGTTTTCACAAATTCCTTGGTCGTTTGTGGTTCACCGATACCAAAAGATTCGAGAATTCGAAACTTACCACCGAATGTTTTACTTACGTTGTTCTTTACCGGTTGTTGTTTTTCGTGATTTGCGCGGGCAAAGAGTTCGCGTTACGTATCGATCTAACTTCTATGTAGAGTATGCTCCCGAGGTACGCTACTTTGATTAAAAGTTTCGAAAGTTTAAAATGTTGCCAAGTCGCGAGCCTGTTCTTTTCATTTTCTTTTTCTTTTCTTTTCTTTTACAACGAAATACCTACGAAGATGGCCCAAAAATGATACACATGCACGGAAGCTGAGTACATATCTCTCTATTATTCGTTAAACTAAGACAAATTTTTTCTTATTTTCGCGTGAGAAATATCAATTTTTAAATTTTCGAAAATTATAGAAGAAAAGAAAAATTATAATGATAAATGAAATTGAAGGCAAATAAGCGCGGGAATTGAAACTATTCTCCATTCTAAAAAACCTATAACGATACTATAATAATCGACTTGTTACAACATTTTCTAGAAAATCGCACACCACGTATCTACTCGCAACACCTGAGAATCAATGAAGAAGAATTTCAAAAGAGATAACCACGAACCATTCTTTCAGCATTCTCGAGATATTACTTAACGTTTGGCATTCGTATTTCGTTCTCAGCGGGTTCCTTCCTCCCGTTTCCGATCGGTGTCGATCCTTCGTCTATTTTGATCGACTCGACATTCCTCCCCGATTTCAGCTCGCTATGGAGCTTTGCGCTTGCCAGAAATATCAATTTGCGCGAGAGAGTGGCAACAGTTTGCTTGATTTGGCACGGCACCGCTTCTCTAGTCCGAAATAAATCTCCCCATCTCGCACGTGGACCTCCCTGAAAACCGATTGTCTTGCGC